GGGACGGAAAACATGAAATTTTGCAATAATCTTACGCCACCCTTGCACAAAACGACGATAACTTTTCTAATTTCATAGACAACAGAAGACTGTATTTTTCTACATAACCCCCCTCCCCCTGAATTTAAAGCTGGATCCGCCCCTGGTTTGAACTGATTAACGATGCCCTTCTGAAACTTGAAAATGATCTAGTGAGAAATTGATACCATCTGTGTTAATTTTCAGTGGTGTGACTGGCTCAGGAATTTGCATTTTTTCAAAACACCCAATCGAGGAAACGTTCTTCCACCAATGGTCAGTGAATGGCTACATCCATAAACTCCACCATGGAGACTGGTGGGGAGGCAAAGGAGTTGGCATGTGTCGACTCAAAGTCCAGCAAGAAGCCGAAACGTATTTCGTCAATGTCTATTCCACCCATGTAAGTATGCTGTTAATGAACAACTGGAGGGTTTGTGATTAATTCTTGAATTATTTCAGCTTCACGCTGAATACAACCGTTCGTCCGATGACTATCAAGCTCACCGTGTCCTTCAGGCTTACGACACTGCTCAATTCATTTTGCTCACGTCGGGCTCTGCGGATTTAATAGTGCTAGCTGGTGATCTCAACACTGAACCGGGCGATTTGGCTTACAGGCAAGTTAAGTGTTTAACATCAGGCTGTTTTACAAGATGACTTTTAGGGTGATTTTAACAGTGCCCGGTTTGGTTGACGCCTACATGCAAACGGGGAGCATCTCGGACGACAGATTTGCTACAAACGAGAGCTTGCGGAACAGCTACACGCCCTCCTCTTTGATTAAGGACAAAATTGTAGGCAAGAGGATAGACTATGTTATGTATCACCCCGGCCCAAACGTAAAGGTGGAGTTAAAAAGCTACGCGTTGCCTCTTCCAGATCGTGTTCCTAAACAATCCTTCAGGTACTACCAGGCTGAAAGCAAGAAAATTATTGTCTAATAAATGTATTTTCATTTATTTCAGTTACTCCGACCATGAAGCAATTCTGGTTGAGTTGTCGCTCTCCAGGGACAGCAAATCTTCCAAAAATTGCCCGGACGAAGTAGCTAAGAAACTGGTGCTGGAAGAATGTGTCGCCTTATGTAAAGAGGCGCTAAAAAGCATTTCAAAAACAAAAATCCTCTATTGGACCGCAGTGCTCTTACTGTTTCTTCTATTCCTAGCTAGTCTAATAGTCCCGGCTGTAGTTAGTGTGAAAATGATCGATGACTATCCAGTGATTTTCGGGGTTTTCCGAATTATTTTCACCGCGTTAGTGCTGTTTTTTATTTTAATGGCCACACTGTGGAGCCGAATCGAAATGCATGGGGTGTTATCAGGTAAGCTGGCCATGGAGATGTCTTTGAAGAATATTTATGAGTGCGCACATTCTAGATAGTTATCGAATTAGTTTTTTTGCATTTTTTGCCAAACGTGAAGACGGTTTGTACATTAATTTGCCTTCCCGGTGTACACTGCCACTGGTTTATCAAGTTTCCAAAAAGAGCTCAAGACTTAATTTCAATTAATTAATTGGAACTTTGTGAATTCATTTTCTGGCTAACAGTTACGTGTTGCTTTTCAAGCTCTGGCAATCAAACGGAAAGAAATTCAAGGAAATTGTTTGTTATTTATGTGTTGTGAATTGACCGATTTCTTAATGTATATTTACATTTGTGATAAGAAGCACGTTAGGTGTACTTTGTGACAAAGAAATTAGCAGAATAATGCCTGGAACAATTATATGTATAATTGGAACTGGGGATTGTGTATGGTTTAACTGTTTTTTTTGTTAAACGTTCAATGTTATTGCTCATATCAACATATTCTAAAATAAGTTAAACATGTAGTGACCATTTGTATTTACCTTTACCTAATAAATTCTAATGATCATTCCTAAACCCGAATTTTGCTGATCTTTCGATGTTCTCGAATCAGTCCTTTACAAGTATGTTTTGCTTTCGTTTGCGTTAACACTAAGATATTAGCCTCTTCTGCGGGGCTAATGAAGTTCCCATCCACTCTGTCCAATTATATTACTTGATCTTCATCTTCTTGGACTTGATGAACCGACTACTTGACTCATTCCTGTGGCATGTTGATGCAAGGAGGGTTGTGTCATCTGCAAACACCACCAGAATCGTGCTTGCAGTCTGTGGGATCTCGCTAGTAGGAAAATACTTCTTAAGGCTGCATCTTATTCATGATTAGATCTTTTTAATGAATTCTCAGCATTTTAAACAGCGTAAAAAACCGCTTCAGAGCAAAATGTTTGGCAATCAGCGTGTATCTGGACCAAAAATGCGTGTTTGTTCAGAGACCCCTTCTAGTTGGCCTTTAAATAAACGCTCATTAACAAGCTAATAGAAATCAATTAAAAACTCGTTACTTGTTCCTGTCTATGCTTCCTAAAATACGCGTTATTAATTCAATTAACTGAAACACTACGCTCTGCGAGCTTCCGCCTTTATTTCAAACAACCTTTATTCGATTGGACATATGGACATTTGTGATTGGTGGAAATGCACTTCGGCGTTGTCAGATTCAAAGAAAAATATGTCCGTTGAGGGAAAATCATCAGTTCAATCGTAGATTCAAGAGGTAATTTAACGCATATTCCGAAGAAAAAACTCAATAAGATGCATAGAAGATTCTAGTGGTTCAAATAGGACTCATTTATGTACCTGCATGTGGAACAAAATAAAAAATAATTAACGCTTACTATTGTGTATGAGGAGTTTTCTGGCAATGCTGTTCCACCCTATGTTCAGTCGAATGTCAGAATCTCTGTCAAGTTAAACAATAGTCGGTTTGTATTCGTAGCTCAATAATAATTATTTCCGAAATTTCGTCCTAAAAGTGCCCCCAGACACTTTGAGAGGTTTATAGTTAATGTAAGTATTTATCACAAAACTTTACATGTTCTGCTGTACTTGAAAATTGTTAATTCATTGTGAGGTTATAAGTTAGAAGCCAGTGGCAACTTATAGGGCTTTGGCTTCGGGCAACATTATTTCCTTTCGCCCATAAAAGTCCAAGCTTTATGACCTGATTTATTATTACTAAATTTTTAAGCCTGATTTATGTTACTGTAAAACAAGATGTCAAATTATGGATGTATCTACATCTATGTTTATTGAAGCAAATTCCTGGACTTTAAGGCCCAGGCAATGTGGACAATTTCTTAAATATTAACTAGCGTGTATTTAACAGATAGCAGACTTCAATCTAAAGATTAGTTTGTGTGAACAAATTAAATACGTTAATGTGTTTTAGGCGGTGTTTGCATTTTAAAGCGCCTTAATGATTTATTGGCTATTGAAAGATCTATTATTATACTTGTCGCAAATCGCCATATACTATTTGGGGCCACGAAACTCCTCGCTGAATAATTTACTTCTTGCTGTGGAAAGCGTGCCTTTGAAACCATAAAGTTGTAATCTTTCTACACAGCACTAGTAAGATAGCAAATGGCATTAATATTTAATCATAAAAGTCTTATCACTTGGTTTCTGTCGTATTATTTCTGCTTAACAATGAAATGGATAAGCTCTAATTACTCTTGCAAACCACATTCCAATCATCACAATCCCTCTAATATTCTCAGGGCATTTTTTATTTAGACATCCAGTAAAATATCCAGAATGAGGACTAAAGGGTGCACAGCACTGCTTCTGGTGGCGCTAGTCGCAACTTGTTATTCACAGGAAACTGATGTAAGTTTCACTTTACCTAGTTTAAAGAAAACCACCCCAGCATTTTCCGTTTCTCTAGGATGAAGTTACAATAGAAACAGTCGAAGATACAGACATTCCATATGAAAGTCCCACCCCTTTAGACTCGTCGAAAGTCTATTTTGCCGATCATTTTGATAGTCCGTCTGCATTCGACAAAACTTGGGTGAAATCCGAAGCGAAAAAAGAAGGGATTGAAGATGAAATTGCAAAGTACGACGGCCAATGGGGCATTGAGTCGCCACAAAAGGATGGCCTGAAGGGCGATTTGGGGCTGGTTCTCAAATCGAAGGCCAAACACTCTGCCATTTCCGCCAATTTAAAGCGGCCCTTCGTTTTCAAAGACAAACCGCTGATTGTTCAGTATGAGGTGCTGTTGCAAGAAGGCCAAGAGTGTGGTGGCGCCTACTTGAAACTGTTAAGCGATATCAGAGACACGAATAACTTGAAGAATTTCCACGATAAAACGCCGTACAGCATCATGTTTGGACCGGATAAATGCGGCAACGACCATAAGCTTCACTTTATTTTCAATCACAAAAACCCGAAGAATGGATCTGTCGAGGAAAAGCACTGCGAAAAACCAAAGGAAAGGTAGGTTCGCCCAGAGCAATACGAATGATTTACTTAATAGAAAACAAATTTCCAGGCTGGAAGAGAGTTTTGCTGATAAATTACCGCATTTATACACTCTGATTCTGCGACCGGACAATACCTTCGAAATACAGCTCGATAGGAAAACAGTAAAGTCGGGTAGTTTGTTGGAAGACTTTTCCCCTGCAGTCAATCCTCCCGCTGAGATTGAAGATCCAGAAGACAAGAAACCAGAAGATTGGGATGAACGGGAAAAGATCCCAGACCCCACTGCTGTGAAGCCAGGCGATTGGGATGAAGATGCGCCCGCTCAAATTGTAGATGAATCTCAGACAATCCCAGATGGGTACGTCTCCTGGTTTCCCAGTGGGTTTTTAGAGGTGATTAAATTATTGTTTTAGGTGGCTGGAAAATGAGCCAAAACTGATCCAGGATCCCGTGGCCGAAAAGCCTACTGATTGGGATACGGAAATGGACGGAGAGTGGGAAGCGCCCCTTATTGAGAACCCTCTATGTGCGGATGCGCCTGGATGTGGACCTTGGGAGCCGCCGCTAGTGAACAACCCCGCTTATAAGGGAAAATGGAGGGCGCCTCTAATTGACAATCCCAACTACAAGGGAAAATGGAGGCCGCGCAAGATTCCCAACCCCCACTTTTTCGAGGATAAGCAACCTTTCAAGATGCAAACTATTGTAAGGCGGATATTTCCACAAACTTACCCATCGAAGCTTAACTTTTGTCGTTTTTACAGTCTGCTGTAGGATTTGAGTTGTGGTCGATGTCCAATAACATCCTGTTTGATAATGTTATTATTACCGAAGAAGTTGAAGTAGCCGAACATTGGGCTAGCGCGACATTTGACAAGAAAAGGCAGAAAATCGCCATCGAATCTGTAAGTTTCTAAGTTACATTTATCAATTCTTGGTCAAAAAGGTGTTGCGCTATTGAAGCCATCATGGTAATTGATTCATAATCATGGTACTTAGGTGTCGACTTGGGGAAAAATGATGAAATCATTGAACTACAACCCTAAAGGATGGGCATTGTACTTCGTTTATTGTTCTATTCCTGTGATCTGTTACATTTGCTATATTTACAGATGTGTTAAAGAGGTACTCAGTAGTCAGTCAAACGGGATCTGGCTTTGCTGCCTTTAATTTCCCGCTAATGTGTTCCTTTACTTAAGATCACCTAATTATGAAGCTTTAAATTGCTTCGAAGTGTTGAATAAGCATAAAACCTTTCACTGAACTTTTCTGTTTCTTTTGCAGGATAGTGTAGTTCAAAAGCTAGCTAAACTAACTGCAGACTATCCAATATTGTGGGCAGTTTATATAATCGTGCTAGGTATCCCAGTAGTATTTATTTTGTATCTTTGCTGTAAACCATCAGCTAGCCAGAAACAGGTAAATACCGCTAGTCTATTTCAGGTCTGCAAAGACTGCTTGATTGGTATTAGGAATCTTGCTCAAAAAGTGCGTGTTTTTATTAGGAGACTGAAGAACTTGCAGAGGCAGCTATGAAAAAGAAGACTGATGAACCAGCAGAAGCAGAAGACGCAGCCGTGCCTGAAGAAGCTAAAACTGCCGAGGTGAACGAGGTGGAGGAAGAGGACAAAGATTCTGGAAAGGACGACGAAGACGCTGAGAAGAACTCGAATCCAGATTCCGATGAAGATAACGAAGCTGTAGAAACAAATGTAAGTGCTCTTTAAATTTCTAGGGGTTTGTCGAAATAGAAATGTTTGTTATTTTGAAATTTTCAGCAGGTAACTGAAGCGGGAGAAGGGACCAGAAAGCGGAAAGTTCGCAAAGATTAAAAAAGAGCTGCAAAAGTCTGTATTTATTTCGAGTAATTTATCTAAAATTAAGGTCGATTTCGATGTAGGCAATTTGATAATAAATTAACGTACCGCTAGACGTACATGTGGTGTATTGAATTCACTCATAGCGATGTACAGGATTTGTAAAACGATTTTTCACCTAACTTTGTTAAATTTATCAAGCACTTTTTTTGTTTATCACTGTGATGATAGTTCATAATCTTCTAGTCGTCGGGAGAAGGGAATTTTTCTTTTCACGCCAACTTAAGGTTGCTGCATGATCCTGTATGTTTTATTTTAAAGGCAATGTCGTTGCTTTTTCTTGTACACTGAACCGTTTTCTTAAACCATTATATCTGAAGAGCTAATATTAAACGCAACGATACTGTGTTCACTGTGTTCTTTGTTTGTTAATAAAAAGTTAAAATGCAGTACACCGTTTTATTCATATAAATATAGATCCCAATTAATTAAGCTTGACCGACTTTAATATCAGCAAGCCCAAAAAAATTAAATGGAGTCAATAAGATTGGCGTTAAATACTGGACGCCCTTTCGCGTTGAGATTGGTAACAGCAAAAACACTGCCAGCAGCTGGGTAGATCAACCTTTCTTCTTCTGTAAGAGAAATTCTTGAAGTGGTAACGAATAGAATGTCCAGATTAGGTCCGCCCCACATAGTTGAGGTGATATCTCTTGCGGGAAGCGCTAAAACCTGCCAATAAGAGCGGAAGTTGGATCATCCAAAGAGTTATGCAAAAGTGAACTGTTACTTGTAAAAGAGCCCTTTCAGTCGGGTTGATTTTCAAAACAACTCCTCCTTTGTATATGGCTACCCATAGATTGTCGTCTTCATCAATAGTCAACCCATCTGGATGCCCAGCTAATTCTGGATGATCGCGCATATCAAAAGCAACTCGACGGTTTGAGATTGTTCCTGATTCGTCGTTATAGTCATATTCCGCGATCTGCATAGTCAAGTAGCAACAGATAATCGTTCACATATTGTTGGTAACTTACTTCAAGTGTAAGAGAATCCACGTAATAGAACTTATCATTGGCGGCGTTCCAAGCCAGGCCATTGCTGATATTAACAGGCGCAATTTCCACGGTTGGATTATCGAGGGTTTCTTTGGTGATTTTATAGAAGATTCCAGCGTCTGGATCTACGATTCCGGTAGTTTGGTCTTCTACTCCCATTGTGCCTGCGGAAAAAACAAAAATTCGGTTACCATCAGCGTTATTGAGGAAGACTTACCAATCCATAAGCGGCCCTGTTTGTCAGCTTTTCCTTCATTCACTCTACTAGTTGGGAATTCTTGGGATACTTCCGAGAGCACCTAAAAACAAATTGTGAGCTCAGAAAATCTTGTTTTAAAGTCACTACCTTTTGTCTGCCCAGTTCGTTAGTGCCATCCCATTCTACAGCGAGAACAGCCCTATTTAGACCAACAATCAACAAATTATCATTATTCTCCGAAGGAATCACCGGAGTGACTTCTCCATCTAATTGGATGAATTTGACTTCAGTCGTTTCGTAGTTGTAGCTGTAAACCCGTCCTGTGTGAATGTCTACGTAGAATAGAATATTCTTCCTGCCGTCCCAAGTTGGTTCTTCGGCATGATCGACTGGTTCGGTTAACTGATATATGGCGGGATGGTCGAAATCGGCGCCACTAAATCAAACAAATGTGGACGAGATTATTGGTTTGTTACTCAGAAAATTCTTACTCAGAGAAACAAGCCCAGCTCAGGAAGCAAAGCAGTAGAATCTTAAACATCCTCACTGATTGCGTGTAAATTCACGAATGAGGATTGATTGATTGTTGTACGATGAAGGGTTTTATCTGTTTGAAGTGGTTGATCAATAACTCTTTAAAAGATTAATGTTCAAGATTTTGATGCATGAAAATTTTTTATTTGCGTCCGATTTTGAAAACAATTAAAATCCTCAATGCGAACACAACATTTCAGTTTTCAATCGAGTCGATAAGCTCGGCGTTAAAAGCTGGAAGTCCTCGAGTGTGGAGATTGATAATGTTCTCAAATGTAAAAGTATATGTTTTACCAAATTTTTGGCAAAATTATCTGTTGACTAATGTGTTTCTTGCTATTAATATTTACACTTGAATTAATCGGATCGGTGTTAAATACGGGCCTTATTTGCAATTTTAAAATTCGCGTTTTATTACTAAAATTCCATAACGGACCAAAACACTACTACCAAACTGTGACAAAAAACTTGCGCTTTCAGAAAATCAGCAATTTTCTAACGGAAAATATTAGAATTTTTCGAAATTTCGACCCAGCGAATCGCGCACTGTCCCTCCCAATTACGGGTAAACCACAGAGCGCTCACAGATTATAAAGGTTATCTCTAGATTCCAGAGTTGCTACATAAGTAGATTCAAAAATCTTCTAACGTTTGTGAAAATTTTCTTTCAGTCACTGCTTAAGATAGTTTAGAAGTTAAAAGATTTTTACGAAGCTAGTGCATTTGGATGGCAGCTTCGATTGTGACTTTTACTACGCCGAAATGTAAGAATTTTTGGGGATTTAGATGAAACTTTCTATATAAGTGCGAAACTCTATAAAACTGCGAAAATCACAAGTTGCTCCTTTGGGCAGATTGGAAGTAACGATTTTTTTAAACGAGCGCATTTGTGTGACATCTTCTTTCTTCATTTTCCATTTTGATATTAAGTTTTATTAGACTAAAGAAAATCGAGATTTTGGGGGGGAGTTTCATGAAACTCCCCGTCCGTGAGCTGAAAATGATGTGAAATTTAAGGCATCTTGACAAAATGTTAATTTTTTCAAAAAATCGTCCCCATCTTTGGGAAAACTTCATCCAAAATCAAAATTTCACATGCGTGTTTTTTTAGCTCAATCGACTCCTTTCGACGTAAAAAAGTCACAAATATGCATTTAGAAAGTGTTTGGGTCAATAATAAGGAAGAAATCGTCGGCTAAAGATCGTAAACTCTCAAAAAACGGTTCAAATGTGCCAAAAATGTCTATTATTTCGAAACTTCTACCATGTTTTTCAACGAGTTCGATGTATTCCCGGCGTCCGTGACGTGAAAATGATGTAAAATTTAGGACATTTTGAAAAAAATATATTTTTTTCAAAAAATCGACCCTCACCCTTGGAAAAATTTCTAACAAAAATAAAAATTTCACATGCGCGTTTTTTGAGCTCAATCGATTCCTTTCGACATAAGAAGGTCACAAATATGAATTGATAAAGTGTTTGGGTCCCTAATAATGAAGAAATCGTCGGCTAAAAATCGTGATCTCTCAAAAAACGCTTCAAATGTGCCGAAAATATCTATTATTTCGGATGTGAAACTTCTATCATGTTTTTCAATAAGTTCGATGCATTCTTCGGGACCGTGAGCTGAAAATGCTGTAAAATTTAAGATGTTTTGAAAAAATTTCATTTTTTCAAAAAATCGACCTCCACCCTTGGAATAATTTCGAACAAAAATAAAAATTTCACATGCGCGTTTTTTGAGCTCAATCGATTCCTTTTGACGTAAGAAGGTCACAAATATGAATTTATAAAGTGTTTGGGTCAATAATAGGGAAGAAATCGTCGGCTAAAGATCGTGATTTCTCAAAAAACGCTTAAAATGTGCCGAAAATATCTATTATTTTGGATGTGAAACTTCTATCATGTTGTTTTTCAATGAGTTCGATGCATTCTTCGGGACCGTGAGCTGAAAATGCTGTAAAATTTAAGATATTTTGAGAAAATCTTAATTTTTTCAAATAATCGACCCCCACCCTTTGAAAAGTTTCTGACAAAATAAAAATTTCCTAAGCGTGTTTTTTGAGCTCAATCGATTCCTTTCAACGCAAGGACACAAATATGCATTTATAAACAATGGGAGTCAACAATAAGGACGAATTCGTCGGTTAAAGACCGTGAACGCTCAAAAATCACTTAAAATGTGCCAAAAATGTCGATAATTTCGGATCTGAAACGTTTACCATGTTTTTTAATGAGTGATGCATTTCTGGCTTCAGTGAGCTGCAAATGAAAGGCAAATTGGCTTTGTTTTGAACCCCAGTTCAGATAGTTTTCCAATTTTCGGGTACGTAAAGCCGAACTTCATCAACAATATTTAGTACTCAGATGGATATTTGTTCAAAATCCTCAAACAAAACACTATATTTTTCCAACATTTTTAGCAAAAGCAGTTATTAGCCGATGTACAAGAAGCACAGCTACTAATGTTTCAAATTGAATCAACCAGATCGGCATTAAATACGGGCCGGCCTTTGGTCTTCAAGTTGGTAACAGCAAATAAACTGCCCGCAGCCGGATAAATCAGCTTTTCATCATCTGTAAGGGCAATTCTCGAAGTGGTCACAAAAAGAATGTCCAGATCTGGGCCTCCCCACATGGTCGAAGTGATATCTCTTGCAGGAAGTGCTATAACCTACCAGTCATTATTAGCGCCAGATCAACGCAAGTCTTTAATGAAAACTCACTTGCAAAAGCGTGCCATTAGTGGGGTTGATCTTCAAAACAGCTCCGCCCTTAGCTAAAGCCACCCAGAGATTGTCGTCCTCATCAATAGTCATCCCATCTGGATGCCCAGCCAGTTCTGGATGATCGCGCATATCAAAAGCCACTTGGCGGTTTGAAATCGTCCCTAAAGTGTCGTTGTAGTCGTAGGAAGCAATCTGAAAATCCAACATTGCATCTGGTCTAACACCAGATCAAAAACTTACCAATCGGGTAGGAGAATCCACATAGTAAAACTTATCATTGGCGGCGTTCCACGCCAGCCCATTGCTAACATTAACAGGCGCAATTTCCACAGTTGGGTCCTCCAGGGTGTCTTTGGTGATTTTGTAGAAGATTCCAGCGTTTGGCACCACGGTGCCGGCGGTGATATTCTCATATCCCATTGTGCCTGCAAAGGAATATTTTATTACCATTTTTAATGGCACTTAGGCAACAGTTACCTATCCATAACCGGCCTTCTTTGTCGGCTTTCCCATCATTCACTCTGCTGGTAGGAAACTCTTCAGAAATATTGGCAAGAACCTGAAAGCAAACCTCTTCTGTCCCTACTGAAGTCGTAATTAATTCACACTCACCTTTTGCTCGCCCAGTTCATTGGTTCCATCCCATTCCACAGCCAGAACCGATCGGTTCAAGCCGACAATCAGCAAGCTGTTATTCACAGCCGGAACAACTGGAGTAACATCCCCATCTAGTGTAATGTAATTCACTTCAGTTGTATTGTAGTTGTAGCTGAAAATCCTCCCACTGTGAATATCGACGTAGAATAGAATATTCTTCCTCCCATCCCACGTTGGTTCTTCAGAATGATCGACCGGTTCCGTCAGCTGATAGAGTGCAGGGACATCGAAATCAGCCCCTCTGAAAAAAAGGGAGTAAAAATCATGTTTAATCGCTGAATATTTGGACTTTCTACTTGGTGGACGAGATCCACGCCAAAATGCACACTACCGCAACTTTAAGCATTTTCACTGGAAATGGGAAATAGTGCAAACCTGTCTAATATTATAGAACTATTAAGATAATTATTAATAAGACCCTTATCTTGTTTTAAATAACACTAATTACACTTAATAAGATAAACACTGAATGTACGTGCAGTAGTATATGGCGACGTGCCTGTCAAAAGTTATTTATTCAACTTTATCGAAAAACGCCGATGGCTTTGTTTGGTTTGCGATGTATGTTTTACTATATACAGGGTGGGTAATTTTTTTCTCCAAATCGTGATCCAAATCACGCCCTGTACTTTCCAATTACGGGTAAACCACAGACTAATCGCAGATCACAAAGGTTGTCTCTAAATTCCAGAGTTGCTACATAAGTAGAGCCAAGAATCTTCTAATGATTGTGAAATTTTCAAGTGGCTGTTTAAGGTAGTTTAGAAGTTGCAAAATTTTTAAGAATGGGTGTATTTGGGTGAAAGTTTCAGTTTTGACAACGCTGAAATCATAAGTGTAGGGAGATTTTGGTAAAAATTTCCGCATAGGTGGAAGCAAGTGTTCTCTAAACATTGCAAAAATTTAAAGTTGTTGCTTAGGGTAGTTTGGACGTAACCATTTTTTTAAAGAAGCGAACGCATTTGAGTGGACGCTTCCATTTCGAGATCAATTTCACTACGCTGCAAAAATCAAAACTTGTAGGGGATTTTGATGAAACTTTCCGGATAAGTGGAGCAAAGTGTCCTCTAACTAACCCGAAAATTGCAAGTTACTGCTTTGGGAAGTTTGGAAGGTACAATGGTTTTTTAAGCGAGAGTATTTGTGGGTTCCATTTTGCGATTAAGTTTTACTACGCTGCAAAAAATCCTATTTTTTGCGAGATTTTAATGAAACTCTCAACGTAAATAGATTTGAATCCCATCTACAGATTGTGAAAATTTCAAGCTCCTGCTTTGAGTAGTTTCAAAGTTACAAGATTTTTAAGAATGAGTGCAGTTGGGTGGAAGTTTTAATTTTGACATTAACTTTTACTACGTTGAAAAAATAGATGTTGGGCGATTTTGATGAAACTTTCCAGATCGGTGGAACCAAGTTTCTCTAAACATTGCAAAAAATTTCAAGATTTTGCTTCGGGTAGTTTGGACGGCACGATTTTTTTAAAGAAGCGAAAGGTTTTGCGTGGACGTTTCCATTTTGAGATCAATTTCACTACGTTGCAAAAATCAAGACTTGTAGGGGATTTTGATGAAACTTTCCGCATTAGTGGAGTAAAGTGACCTCTAAGTAGTCCGAAAATTGCAAGTTACTGCTTTGGGAAGCTTGGATGTTACAATTTTTCTTAAGCGAGAGTATTTCTGGGTTTCATTTCGCGATTAAGTTTTACTACGCTGCAAAAAATCCTATTTTTTGCCGATATTTTAATGAAACTTTCAACGTAAATAGATGTAAATTCTATTCTGTAAATTCTATCTACAGGTTGTGAAAATTATAATTTAGAAGTTACAAAATGTTAAAGAATGAGTGCAGTTGGGTGGAAGTTTCAATTTTGAGATCAACTTTTACTACGTTGAAAAAATAAATGTTGGGCGATTTTGATGAAACTTTCGAGATAGGTGGAACCAAGTATTCTTTAAACATTGCAAAAATTTAAAGATTTTGCTTTGGGTAGTTTGGACGGCACGATTTTCTTAAAGAAGCGAACGCTTTTGCCTGGACGTTTCCATTTCGAGATCAATTTTACTACGCTGCAAAAATCAAAACATTCGGGGGATTTTGATGAAACTTTCCACACACCTAAGTGGAGCAAAGTGTCCTCTAACTAACCCCCCGCAAATTGCAAGTTACTGCTTTGGAAAGTTTCGAATTTCCAATTTTTTTTTAAGCCAGCGTATTTGTGTATTCTATTTTGAGATCAAGTTATACTACGCTGAAAAAATCTTTGTTACGGATATTTTAATGAAACTCTCAACGTAAATAGACTCAAATTCCATCTACAGATTGTGAAAATTTCAAGCTCCTGCTTTGAGTAGTTCCGAAGTTATAAATTTTTCAAGAATTCGTGCAGTTGGGTGAAAACTTCAGTTTTGACATCAACTTTTATTACGCTGAAAAAATAAATGTAGGGCGATTTTGATACAAATTTCCACATGGGTGGGTGGAACCAAGTGTTCTCTAAAGATTGCGAAAATTTCAAGATTTTTCTTTGAGTGCAACGATTTTTTTAAAGAAGCATTTGCGTGGACGCTTCCATTTCGAGATCAAATTTACTACGCTGGAAATTTCAAAATGTGGGGGGATTTTGATAAAACTTTCCGCATAAGTGGCTCAAAGTGTCCTCTAACTAGCCCCAAAAATTGCAAGTTCCCGCTTTGGGAAGTTTCGAAGTTACAATTTTTTTTTAAGCGAGCGTATTTGTGCATTCTATTTTGCGATTAAGTTTTACTATGCTGCAAAAAATCCCATTTTTTTGCGGATATTTTAATGAAACTCTCAACGTAACAAGATTCAAATTCCATCTACAGATTGTGAAAATTTCAAGCTCCTGCTTTGAGTAGTTTAGAAGTTACAAAATTTTTAAGAATGAGTGCGGTTGGGTGGCAGTTTCAATTTTGACATCAACTTTTACTATGCTGAAAAAATAAATGTTGGGCGATTTTGATAAAACTTTCCACATGGGTGGAGTGAAGTGTTCGCTAAATAGCACGAAAATTTGGAAATTTTACTTCGAGCAGTTTGGACGATACGATTTTTTCTTTAAGAAGGAAACGCATTTGGGTGGACGCCTTCATTTCGAGATCAAATTTGCTACACTGGAAAAGCAAAACGTGTGGGGGATTTTGATGACACTTTCCGCATAAGTGGAGCAAAACGTCCTCTAACTAGCCCGAAAATTGCAAGTTGCTGCTTTAGAAAGACTGCAAGTGAATTTTTTTTCTGCGATCGTATTTGTGCATTCTATTTTGCGATTAAGTTTTACTACGCTGCAAAAAATCCTAATTTTTGGCGGATATTTTAATGAAACTCCCAACGTAAGTAGATTTAAATTCTATCTACAGATTGTAAAAATTTCAAGCTCCTGCTTTGAGTAGTTTCGAAGTTACAAATTTTTTAAGAATGAGTGCAGTTGGGTGGATGTTTTAATTTTGACATCAACTTTTACTACGCTGAAAAAATAAATGTTGGGCGATTTTGATGAAACTTTCCAGATAGGTGGAACCAAGTGTTCTCTAAACATTGCGAACGAATTTCAAGATTTTACTTCGGGTAGTTTGGACGGCACGATTTTTTTAAAGAAGCAAACGCTTTTGCGTGGACGTTTCCATTTCGAGATCAATTTTACTACGCTGCAAAAATCAAAACGTGCAAGGGGTTTTGATGAAACTTTCCTCATAAGTGGAGCAAAGTGTCCTCTAACTAACCCGAAAATTGCAAGTTACTGCTTTGGGAAGTTTGGAAGGTACAATTTTTTTAAGCGAGCGTATTTGTGCATTCCATTTTGCGATTAAGTTTTACTACTCTGGAAAAAGCCTAATTTGTTGCGGATATTTTAATAAAACTCTCAACGTAAATACACTCAAATTCCGTCTACAGATTATGAAAATTTCAAGCTCCTGCTTTGCGTATTTCAGAAGTTACGATTTTTTAAAATAACGAGCGCATTTGAGTGGAAGGTTCCAGTTTGAGATCAAATTTTACTACGCTGACAAACATGAAAATTTTGAGGGTTTTTGATGAAACTGTGTGCATAAGTGGAACTAAGTGTTTTAAAAAATTGTGAAAAATTCCAGGGGCTGGAAGTTCCCAGTTTGGAAGTTATGCGCTTTTGAAGAAGCGAGTTGGACCAAGAGCATTTATTTTGAGCCCAACTTTGCAAAGCTGAAAAAAATCAGTCCGAAGGACGATTTCCTTGAAAATGTCGGCGTTTGTAGAGCCCAGTGTTTTCTAACAATTGTGAAAATCTCACGTTGCTGCTGGGTGCGGTTTGAATGTTAAGATTTTTTTAAGGAGTTAGCGCATTTTTGGTGGAAGCCTCCATTTCCACAGATCAAAGCGGCTCTTCTGTGCAAGTTCTCTGGCAAGTTCTCTGCAGACCAATTCAACAAAATGTCAAGCAAATTGACCTGGTGGTGAACTTTAAAATGTCCAAGACACTGGTAAAACGCAGTTTTTATTTTTTTTGGTAAGTAAAAATTCATCAACAATATTTAGGACGGATGGATATTTGTTCAAATCCTCAAATGAAATCCAATATTTCACAAAAGTTTCGTCAAAAGTATCTATGAACTGACGTGTTTCTTGCTATAAAAGTTTCAAATTGAATCAACCAGATCGGCATTGAACACGGGCCGGCCTTTGGTCTTCAAGTTGGTAACGGCAAATAAACTACCAGCAGCGGGATAAATCAACTTTTCTTCATCTGTTAGGGAAATTCTTGAGGTGGTAACAAATAGAATGTCCAGATTAGGTCCACCCCACATAGTTGAGGTAACATCTCTTGCAGGGAGGGCTAAAACCTGCCATTAAGAGCGGAAATTGCCTTATCCGAAGAGATCTCAATAAGTGAAGATTTACTTGTAAAAGAGTTCCATTGGTCGGATTGACTTTCAAAACCACGCCTCCATAGTACATGGCAACCCATAGATTGTCGTCCTCATCAATAGTCATCCCATCTGGATGCCCAGCTAATTCTGGATAATCGCGCACATCGAAAGCAACGCGACGATTCGAGATTGTTCCTAAAGTGTCGTTATAGTCGTACTCAGCGATCTGAAATTTCAGTTAGACACCGATAATGTTCACGGATCGCCCCTGATTTCTTACTACAAGTGACAAAGAATCTATATAGTAGAATTTATCATTGGCGGCATTCCAAGCCAGGCCATTACTGATATTAACAGGAGCAATTTCCACAGTGGCATTTTCCAGAGTGTTTTTGGTTATTTTGTAGAGAATTCCTTGGTCCGAATCGACCGCGCCAGTAGTTTCGTTTTCCCAGCCCATCGTCCCTGCAAAAACTTCTTAACAACCTTTTTTGAAGAGGTACAGGCAGTTACCAATCCACAGCCGGCCCTGCTTATCGGCTTTTCCTTCATTCACTCTACTGGTGGGGTATTCTTCTGCTAAATGCGACAGCACTTTTTGTTCTCCCAATTCATTGGTTCCATCCCATTCAACAGCCAGAACCGTCCTATTCAAGCCCACGATCAGCAAATTATCATCATTTTGCGAAGGAATCACCGGAGTCACATCTCCATCCAGTGTAACATAATTCACTTCAGTCGTATTGTAGTTGTAGCTGAAGATCCTGCCGCTGTGCATGTCCACATAGAAAAGAATATTCTTTCTGATGTCCCAAGTCGGCTCTTCCGCATGGTCTACTGGTTCAGTTAGCTGGTATATTGCAGGAACATCAAACTCTTCACACCTGAAAACATGTTAGTATTTGGAATAAGTTTTGCGGAATTAGCGTCACTTCTTACGTGATCGAGCAGAGCAAGCTGAGGAAACCAACCAGCAGAACCTTTAACATTTTGCCCTCATGTGACACGAAAGTACCTATTAATAATTGAAATTGCTAACCATTTTATAGCCATGTGTCTAGCTTTTTTTATCCCGAGTTTTAACAGAATTATTTATTCAAGATATCTGCAGGCCCAAGTTCGAAGTATAAGCAAATATTGGCAAATCCACACGAGCGCCTAATGTTACAATAGATCAAGACGTTTGCCAATTAAAAACAAAAGTGTCTAATTTTTATTAGTTTAAAACTTCACGTTTAAGTGATCTCTGCATTTAAACAAATTCAATAGAAACTGCAGAGTGGCTTTCATCTTCAAGGTTGTGTTCGCTTCGGGCGACATCCAAAAGCCCGAAAAACTCTCCAGTTTCAAGAAATGGCCCCAATAACTTTTATAAGCAGTGAAAATTATTGTGTTTTTTATGTTGACCCGAGTTCAAAAACAGTTTTTGTCAGAACAAGTAGAGAAAAGCCAAGTTAAATTTGTTAAATTCCTTGTGTTGTTATCAACTTAATCCATGAATTTAACGGTTGTTGTTACAGTAGTTGTATTTGTTCTCATTAAGACGAACATTGTATCAAACCTAAAGTCGATTTTTCATAAAACAGTCAATCAAATTATCAGCGATGACTGCAGCCATTGTAAGAAACTATCATTATCTATGAAATAAAAAATAACATCGATAATGTTAATACATCAACCGATTTAATCCGGCTTAAACGCAAATTCGCAGCTGAAAGAGAGATAAAACGTACAAAATACCTTTATATTGAATGCATAAATAATAATACTTAATAAAGTTAAATTACTTTCTATGATAATCTTCAAAATCAGTTTTAGAGCAAAGTAAGCAAAAGCAAAGTAGACAAGAACTCACGGTGAATCGGCGGAAAACATTGAAGAATAACATTTAAAATGTTAAATAAACATTCAGCAGATACAAATTTTAAAGAAACAATAACAAATAAAGGTGACATTTGTTTGTGACGAAAAGTTTTAAATGTCTTGACTTATTTTTCTCATAAGTAGTCATAAGTAGTCATAAGTAGTCATAGTCATAGTACGTTAAATGGGTCCATTTCCACTTGGTCCGTCTTGAAAAAAATTTAATAATCGCTAATTTGTTACTTAAAAGCAGACAATGCATCAAGTGCTTTTGGAGCTTAGCGATACACATTAAACTTGTCAAATTTCCCATGAAACTAATCCTTGCGAGTCCGAAGTTTAAAAGAAAAATGCTTTTTAATTCAAATATTACACCACGTGGATACGATGATATCAAAATATAAATATCATTTGATAATTTAATCCAGTTCAACTTAAACTTATGTAAAATATGACGTCAAGGGCAAAAATAAAAGTACATATAAAAAATAAGTGATTGTTCAAGTAAATCAATTTCATCTTGGTGCTGGTGCATAATCAGTATAAGCGGTTTTAAGCAGAATATACCATTTTTTCCAGCTCAATTTGGTTTTTAACTGACTTATTCATTCGTCGAATATAGAAAATATCACGTATTTTAGGAAAGAGATGAGATATCATACATCTTTATATATTCTTCTTCATTTTTTGAGCGATTCTCACAAGTCTGCGGTGGTCCATCGTGCTTATGTGCTCATTTCATTCCTTCTTCCTGTTTGCTACCCATTCATTGATGTTCTTGACATTAGAGGCTGTTCTGATATCTTCGCTTCTCTCTCTATCCAGCAGTGTCTTTCCGGTGATTCTACGGAGTATTTTCATCTCAGCTGTCTCTAGGAGTCTTTTGGTGTTTGCTGTTTCTGGCGTGGTTTATGCAGTATATGTCATCACAGGCCTCACGACGGTTTTGTAGATATATCGATCTTGTTATCTGTGAGTTCTTTTATGATTTCTTGGACTTTGTTATTGCATGATCTCTTTCTCCAATTCGTTGTCCGTTTTCTCGCGTGGGTCGTCGTAGTTAGATCAGTTCTGTTCCGAGGCAAGTGCCCGTTTCTGTGAGCTTATACATCTTTATTGTCAGGGTTATTTCTCATTGTTTTCTTGTCTCGAATTTAATGTTGTAGTTATTTCTAGTTAACTGTTCTAACTTTTAAAATCTTACAAGCTTCTGCCTTCTTTGTCTCTCACTAACTAATCACTGCCTGTGAGCTTTCAAATGTTTTTTCTCTGTTGAAGCAAGCAGGTTTGTTTCAATCTGGACCATTATCTACTGTTTTGCGTCAAGCAAAAACTTCTTGGGTTGTATTTGTTTGATTTTCTGATTGGTGTTTGTTTCGGAATTCCTTGCTAATTTTTACTTCTGTCGTTGGACTAAATTAGTTTAAAAGTCAAGCGGACGTTTTTTCAAAAAACCTTCACGGGACGCTCTACAGAAGTGATAACTTCATACATTTCTAGAAACCATAAAATATTGAACTTGTTTAACGCATGATGGCAATAATTATTTTATTTTATAATTTTAATATTCTTGTTAGTCTAGTAATTTATAAATGGGTCAGGAATGGGTAAAATTTAAATTAATTTCCTGTTGAATGTAAAATATCTTTTTTATTTGCAACATTTAACATTCTTTAACGAGATGTTGTACATATTGTTCTTCTTGGGCTTGTGTAAACTCTTCTTCTTGAGTTGCTGTATTTATTCTTATTTGCTTTGTATAATCTTTGTGGTTCAGTTGATGAAAGCTACTTTGATCTATTACTTAATGCTAGTTTTTTAGCACGAAATCGTTTTTGGCGTTCAGCATTACTTAATACTTTTCGCATTGTGGCATGTTTTTGTGACTGCTGTTGTGTATGTTGCTCATGAACGTCTGCTACAACTTGTATCTGAATAGGACTAAAAAATCAATTAATTTTGGTGATTGGAAGACGTTCTATCTGTTTAAAATAGACGGTAAAACGAGGAAGAGCTATAGAGACAGGATACAGTTGACATACTATATGTATACATAATGTAAGCCATCGCGTGTATGTTCAAAAAAAAATTCTAACTAAACTAATCGAAGGCTAAAAAAATTTAACTAATTTGAGAAGATTTAATCATAAAGGAATCAAAGGGTATATGAAGGGAAAAATCCATTTTGATGCGTGGTATACACAATTAATCATAGGAATAATATAGAGAATTGAAAATAAGCCCTAATAAATTCGTTTGACATATTTTCTAACTATAAGCTGAAGAGAGATTCGTATCGTCTTAACATCAAGAATGCGTTGC